TATTCAACATGTGGCTCGCAATCCACGGCAAATGCAATTTCTGTAGTGTTGATTATAACTGCGTCCATGCAGAAGTGAATGTCCCAGACAATGCCTGAAACTAATTTATTATTACTTCGGCTGGTCCATCCTATTGCATGTAAAGAAACCTGCCCCAGTACCAGAGTATTTTCAGACCTGTAAAGTAAAGCAGTCCCCGTTACACTTCATATGAGAGCTGGGAGTTTTTCGTGATTATCCTCAGAGCATCTGCAGACTAAGATAATTTTTCGAAACAGGCCACAACATCCAGCATCTAGTTCTTTTACATATGATTATGATTTACAATCACCTTACCACTTTATTCAACACTAAACCTCTACAAATAAAACAGCGACGTTCAATATCTGTCCTGTGAAACAACCGGTCAAGTTGACTGATAGACTTAGGTTCTATCCCTGTGATGTAACGAAGTACTCAGCTCTCAGTGTTTATGTATTGGTACAGAGAACGTCTAGTTATGGGCATGGTTTATGGAGCTGAGGTACAAGAAAACAGCATGTGTCATGCCTTGTAACAGATGGGATTGTACGCTTATGTTCACACCCACAGCCTCTCCTTTGAAGAGGAGTTCATTCTCTCCCTTCCACAGTTTGCACAATAATTTACTTCACAACCGTAGTACAAGAAAATTGCCCATCCCCTTTATAGGCATACTACCAGCAGTACACTCTCCATCATCTGTGAAGAGAAACACGTGGACAGTTTCATGTAACCGGAACGCATCAAACTAGATCTCTCTTCTTTTAGTTTCTGCCCGTAAATCTCACGCCCAAAACATCTTGACTGAAAGGAAGAAAAATATCCATGCGCACTAATAATTTTCTCCCACCTCCAATTCTCTTGAACACAGCAACAGCTCACATACGAGAATAAACTTAGTTCGTCTTATAACATCGGAAATTAGTTCCACTAAATCATTCTGAACATTTGATTAGTTGAGGTATAGCTCCAGGCATTCTTAACCTAGGAGATAAATATTATTAAATATTTTTTTTAATTTCAATATATAAGCATTCCAAAATTCTCTTTATATTTTTCAGTTCCTCTTTAACTTGAAAAGCGCAATAGGATACATTTTATTTACAGTGAAATTTGACGTGAATCATATGAAAAAATCCAATGAAAACTTAAGCTGCGAGCCTCTAAGTGGAGCATTGCACACGTGTTTCACACTCATAACTCAAAACACTTTACTTAACTTTCTGAGGTGTTTAACCCGCAGTCAGATGATTTGAGACACAAGATTAATCAAGTATACAGCCGTCAGAATAAGGTCAAAGATCTAGGGCTCTCATAATCAGAGTAAATTAGACCACAGTCTATTGAGTTGCAAGTGACTTTGTGTTAAGTCGGGCGGAGCTGTTACGAAACTTGAGTCTGTCCACATTTAGCCCATTCATTCATTAGCAAAGTGCTTGTTTGCGTAACGACACAGCGCCACAGGATGGTAACTTACATTAGGTTTCACTTCGTATTGTTAAAGGTGCAGATGGACATCGGCTTTCAACGCAGATTACATATCGTTAACCGGGCCCCAATTTTCTACAGATGGAATCCGTCTCACAAACTCCTTGACCAGATTTACAAACATGCGTTTCAGTCAAATAAATTTATAGTGGAACCTATATTAGAGCGTTCGTGATATCTCAACCCTTGCAAATTTTCGACATCGTTATCCCACGGTCTGGATTAAGCTGGCGCAGGATATTGTTCAATGGCGAGCTGTTGTGAACATGGTAATTAAACTGTGGGTTCCAAGCGGACATTTCTTTACTAACTATAAAGTTTTAAATTAAATTTAAAAATTACGATTCAATTTTAACTTTTGGGGAATTTTGTTTTCTGGCGCTATTGTCTGCCAACATAACTGATCTCAAAGTTAAAAATTATTTTCTAGTCTTTGTTTCCTACCTTAAACCAGGTAAAAGCGTTTGAGAATAACAAAAGTTTTACGGTAAGGGGCTTCGGTAGCCAGAAACATGTTGGACTGCTATTATTTTGTGAATGGGTTTGATAGAATTTTGTCATATCATAAGAAAAGTTGTAAATTAATGTTTCTGCGTCTTAAATCGATCCATTAATAGCATTATAATGAGTCAGAAATCTATGCCAAGTCGAAATCATTCTGTACGAAAAGCAGGCTAGAGCATTCAAACATTTGACCAGCGTTTAAACGACCGCCCTTCCATAAAATGTTACCGCTCCTTCAAGAAATAAATGTTCAAAACAATACCAGCAAATTTTGTGTTAGCAATACAAACAAAGGCGTTGCATCATTTAGGGCACAGCACAGCGTTTCAATGGATCTTTATCAGCGCAGTCTGGTGAGAGAGAAGCGCACTATAGGCTGGGAACTATATTGTTAATTGTAATACTGTGTAGCAACAAGGTGTTTCCATGGTTACGTCAAATTCCGTTACATTCAAAAGACTGCCTTACTAAACTTGTATCTTTTACATCAAATATTCAGCTGGTACACACATCCCTTTCTGAAAGAAATAAAAACAATGAGTGCATGTATATTAAACGCACACTCGTGTGAAAAAGGTCAGTGAAAGGTCAAACGAGTGTCGTCATTGTAATATTACGTCACTTGACGAACTGTAGGAAGTCCCGAGATGGTCCCTCGATGTCTCACGCTCCACAAAGAACGAAATATGGACTGGTCTCACGCGGTTATGACATAGAGCCAATTGTACGAGTTTACAATATCATTATTCATTGAAGCGAAGCTGACACAGGTTGAAAGAAAGGAATTTCGCTTTTTATTAAAGAATTGTGTCGCATGAAAACACATTCTAGGGCTATGGGTCATTAGAACGAAAGAACTCGCTTTACATTCAACGTGTTCATATAGAATTTCTAAAATTCCCTCCTCTAACGATCTTCCGACAAGACATTTTGCTAGCCAAAGAAACGATAAATTCACTATTGGTAATAACAAAACCTCAGAATTAAATTATCTACTGAAAACGTCAACCAACTTCACTACATGTTTCATGAAGACTCATTTTAATATTATACTCACTTCTCTGCAACATATGAACACAGACGACCGTCACTTGGAGGTTTCATAACCAGGCAAAATTTGTGATTGAAGGACTCTGAGAATCTGAGTCCAGATTTTGCCTCGTGTTATGATGGAACTATAATAATTATGCCTGAGAAAACATTTCAATATGCACAAAACGCGACAAGTTAATGAAGAAATGGAGATCATAGCGTGATCATTAATTCTTTATTATTGTTTTTTTAAAAACACATCTTCTAAGATGATGATAATCAAGAGTGATTATGGCGGTGCATGTAGCACGGATAGGGAGATGATAAATGTTCATAAAATTGTAGTTGAGAGACTACTAAGAAGACCTAGGCGTAGATGGGAGGATAATAATAAAATGGATCTAAGAGAATTAGGGTTGGAGGGATTGGATTTATATGACTAAGAATGACGATCGGTGGCGGGCTCTTGTGAATAGAGCAAAGAAGCGCTCGATTCCTTAAATGTTTGAGCGTAATTTTACCTTCTCAATGAGAGTTCTGTCACATTGAGTGAGTTTAATTACTATAAAATTATGTCAACTTCAGACAATAAAAACTGCGAAATCAGTCTCGGTTACAATCGGTGACATTTGGAATTTTTTATTCCGTTCAATTTGAATCAGATTCAACCATTAATATCTGAAATTTTAATTCCAATAAATTATGTTCTGCCACAATTAACAAAATTTTGAAATTATAAAACAATCTAATTGTTATCACAATACCAAAAGGTCCCTTAATACAGCCTAACCTACCGTCCACCCCACACTCATGGCGTGTCTACTTGATACAAGTCAGAGTTCACGTTGCTAATGGAGCATTCTCGTTTCGCAGTGGGCAGAGAGGTGTTTTTCAAACAGGCATCCTCACACAATCTTATTAAATATGCTTCATCAAGCAATTACCAACACTGACCGCTTATTCTCGTCTCAAGGGTGTGATCATTGCAATGCAAGGCTTCAAAAGAAGGCACGACACCCAAGGGAGGATGGAGGGGTGGCGGAGATTACATGTAAAACAAATTTCGTAATGAGCTCATTAAGGGTTCTGTTGTGCAAACGGGACTGAATAAGAGGGCGTTCAGAAACGCATTAAGAATGAAACACAGAAATGTTCTTTACTAAGGACTTCAATCTAAGATTACGAAACGTAGTAATGATGTGTAGATTTGTCTTTAATTTAACCGCAACAGGGGTACAGAATAATCCGCGTGAGAGTTTTAAGAAGAACCTCTAAAACGACTAATCACCCTACAACTCATTCCGTTTTATATCATGTGGATTGTTTGCTTTCTATATAAAAGTGTTTTGATTGGATTATTAATTTTTTGTGATTTCAAAGCAGAAAATGGATTGGATGAACATCCCTTGGTCCATGTCCGGGAAAATTTAGTTTAAGAGGAGGGACACTATTAAATTAAGGTTGAAACCTGTTATGTTCACAACCATCGTCTATGGTTTTCCCTTAGTTCCTTCATAAATATGGAGATATGGTGTAAAATCGACCACAATCAGGTCCTCCCATGTCGCTCCTGTCCTGTGTAGGTAAAGACCTTCGCACTGGCTGAAACGGAAAGATTGCGTAAGGAGTTCTACTAAATGTCTAGGGTATCAATTATTTCAGACTTCTGCATGAAACAGTCCAAAGGCCTTTATCCATGAGGATAAAAATAAAGACGTAGGCGAAGTTTTGGGCCAAGTATCTACATTATAAGCTTTGCGCTAACCACAGTTTATAATACACTGACAAAGGAAAAACTCAAACTTGTCCGTCAAATTGCAATGAAAAGCAAGAATATAAAATTTAATCAAAATTCGTCTTCTAATTTTCAAATATTTGACACGCGAACCGACACCACTTCCTATTGAGCTCTCATTTGACGAAATTCCATAAACTGAGCACAACAGATCAACTGGTACTGGACAACCATGGCCGAGGTAGACAATGCGTGGAGTCTGACCGCCTTCGTAGCTTTGTGCTCAGGCACTGGGACGAACTTACGTTTATTCTTCTAAAATTATTATGCAGGTCAGAAGGACGCTCGCACTTGAAATTGCGCACACTGAGATATAAAGATTTGTTTACCAGAAATATCACATTTTTTTTCCCGATGCGTGGCTTTAATCTGATGTTCACATCATGCTTTATTTACATTCGTTTTCTGCATCAAGAACATGACAAATCGTATCTGATGGAAACAAAGCAGAAAGTCGCATGACGTCTGAGAAGAATATCAAAATTCTGATTTTTCGCATTTGTAGTTTATCCCCTCTCTCTGCCCTACATGTAGGTTACAGTAAAGCTCGAGTAGTAAGGCAGGAATCTTCTTTTTTTAAAAAACAATTTGCGTCTTTGTCAGGTCACTGTCACAGACGCATTAGCATGTTTCAAGTGTGTCAACTCGCAGTGAATTATATTTCGTTTCCTGCCAAAATACCCGTTGCACAAGGTTAGTAAACAATACGACGCAACAGAATCATTGGACGTTAACACATTCATGTGACACAAGGTTCGAATACCGGCAGATTAAAGGCTGCAATGAATGACAAATCTGTACTTTTCCTCAGTTTATCCACATCAAATAACCTACATCTGCCTCTTTACAAATATTTACCTAAGCATATAAAATGATCGTATCGTCCTGGGTTCAAAACCCGGCATGCAGACTGGCTAAACTTACTGAGGAACTTAGTAATTTTTTTTCAGTGCTTCCAAATATATCTCGCAAAATAACTTTAGAACTTACCAAGACCAATACCTTCCCAATCCTTCACAATTCACATATCATCCTACGCAACGCATGTAACTAAAAAATTTGTTAGACCACTCAATCTAAGCTGCATTCAGTGTTCTGTAAGAAGGGTTTAAGTCAATAAAAACTACGTTTGATTTAAATCCTTCCTGTCGAGAAGCAAAGATAGATTCTTGAAGTTAAGTAACTGTCTGGTAGCAGCACTACTAATATGAAACAAGGCTACTAAACAATTCTGAGCCAGTTCAATCCATCCTCCCAAACTGTTTCTCTGAATTCAATCGAAATTTTGTTCCATCATATTGTTCTTGGTCTTCAAATCTGACGTTCCGGGATTTCCTAATCAAAATTATGTGTGTATTCCTTGTCTCTCCAAAGTAGTCACACGCCCAGCCCTCCTACACCCCACTTTGTTCTGAAAAAGTTCCGTTAGTGACTCAAATATATTACTAATTCATCATTAGGTAAATTACCTTAAGCTCTGACCACCTTCCGCCTTCTCAGGTCCCATTAGTTTCCTTAGCACTTTGTTTTCTGAAAACTGCAGCTCATTAAGTTACCTCGCACGAGCAATGATATTCAGTGTTATATAACTAGACTGAATAATTACAGTTTTGAACTAAAGCGGAGTTGTTACGTACCGAACGTAAAAGCAATCAGACGAAATGTTTCTGTTACAGCAGAAGATGCCATTCCACTCTCAGATGGTTAAGTGCCGCCTTGTAAGAACTGATTCCACCACGTTTGATGCAAAAATATTTCAACATCACCTGAAAATAAAAATAACAGTGATAATATATTTAAAACGAATTATCAAAATAAATGCCAAATTATGTTTCCGGGCGAGTTATGGGATGAAATGCTAGTGGTCTTATTTAAGGCGTCTCGTCTTTCATTGTAGCTCATAAGATTAAAAATCAATCGAATTCCCCGATTTTGTGGGCGGTTTCGTGAATACAAACGAAGCGTATTTGAAATACACGCGATTATAATGTCAGATAAGCGAAGTCATTTGCGTAAGTGACTTTGATGTAGGCATTTTGGTATTTGTTGATAGATAACAGCTTAATGGATCAAATTGCGTCCACAATTAGGGCTGCAGATGGTATCTACCTACATATGCGTACGGCGTAACAAACCAAAATACCATCATCCTCATCTTACACCGCGGTGATATACTCTATTTTCATACACCAGGTACCGTTTTTCCCAGTCAAATTATAGGGATAGATACACCGCGGTGATGTACTCTATTTTCATTCACCAGGTACCGTTTTTCCCAGTCAAATTATAGGGATAGTATCCTGAAATATATCGCGTACTTTTCCTTTCAAATCCCTTCATCTTATAATACATAACCATGACCCGATTGCATCAGAACGCAGACAAAGTGTTTGCTGCGGGACGCCTCCAGATCAGCGCTGTCTGCGAGCGACTGCCTCAGTGATCACATCGACTACCAGGAACCAGAACGCCGTCCTTCAAGGTAAGTTACAACAATTCCATACATTCGATCCCGTTACGGAATACGATCTCCCCCCCCTACTCCTACAGATCCCTTCACCAGCGACCTCTCCCTGCACTTCTGTCTTCAGCAACACTTTCTATTTCACCCAACGACTCCACCCTATTCTTCAGTTTCTCCTCTCTCTTCCATTTCTTTCTTCCCCCGTACAGACATTTTGTTTACATCTGGAAGGCCTCGTGGTGGGAGAACAAGTGACCAAAACAGCCGGACAATGACGATCTCCTGTTACAGTAACAAGGGCAGAACCAAGTGGTGGAGGTTGCTTGATACAAGAAGAGGGGAAGGAAGACATTGCAGAAGTGGGAGAGACGCCCCTCCCAAGCTCGCCGCAGAGGAAACTTGTCTCATTCTTTCGTCTTCTTCCTCCATCTCCACAAGTACACGTAGAGCTTAGCAATAGGCGGTGCATGGTGCAGAGATCAAGAGGAAAACACAATTACAGACTGTCTTTCCCCGATAACCTAAAATCTATAAATTTATCTCAACGCAAAGATCCTTGAGCCGCTGCAGACAGACCTCGCTCTCCGGAGGAAGAAACTAGCGTAACGGTATCGGCAGTACGCACACGGGGCAGGTAAAGTAGTGGGGATGGCGCGGTACACATTGATAGCACAAAGTGGAGATGCTAATTGAAGTGACGGATAATAAGCACTCCAGGGAAGGGGAGATATTGGGAAAAAAAGAAATTGTGAGACACGGAGAGGGAGGAAGGGTAGGAGGGAACGAAAACTGGGTCTCTCTCTCTCGTACAAGAGTAAAAGTGAGAGAGATAGAGTTTAAACTGTGATCAGATGCAATGGCCAGTTCACTCTTGTCTCGTGCCTGTGAAGTGTGGGGTCGGACCACGCCGTAAGTGACACGCCGTGTTGAGGATACACAAATGCCACTCAATTACCGTCGCTTTTCCACCAGTGCTGGAAGAACGTCCATGCATTTCAGCCTTAACATTGGTTTATCAACTGTGATATTTAATTATACGAGGATTGCTTCTTATGTTAACTACAGTGTTTAACCAACGAACCCAGACAATTTAATTCCAAATTAATTAATGTCTGAAAACAAATTTTTGTACCTGCGGTAGTGTTTACTGTGTAATTTTGACACTCCCTCCCCTTCGATTGTAAAGTGGTTCGTCGCACAGACATGCAACTGCAGTTGACAGTGAATAGTTGTGGGTGAAATTGTGTTCCTTTGTGTGCATATGAGTGAAGTTTCTTTTGAACATTTCGTAAGCGAAAAAGCGTCTTCGCGGATGTCTCACAGAAGAAACAACGGCTTCTCTTACTATCGCGAATAAGTTCTTCAGGGGACAACCAGCAGTGTTAACAGAGGTAAGACCACACGCCAGCTATCTTTCAGTAGTAGTCTTCTACCTCATGATACTTGAATAATAATATTCAGTGTCCTGTCCAGTTATATTGTGAATCTATAGAGTGGAAAGAAAACTTCTATGTTGTAAAGTTTCAGACTTTGACAGATTCACACATGGAAGTCGCGCCTAATACTACGGTAAGGACAATTGAGAACACTTGCTCTCCGCTTGTGATCTGCATCCATTTTCCCACACCATCCACATTGCAAAAAGCACAAGTGTTTCTATCTATTAAAACGAAGACATATCTTTTATTGTGTTCTAATTTAGAATCAACACAGAGCGAGTAAAAGAATTGAAATGATATGAGACTCTTGGATATGAAATGTAATTACAAATACAGACGGGACAAAATAATATTAGTAGAAATAATTCTAATTTGCAAGAAATATAACCTAATTTAGAAATTACTTAAGCGAACTGACCAGGAGGGAGACTTCAACGCGGGAGTGGAACACAAACTACACCTCTACACAAATTTTCATCCTTATTTTTAAAAAAAAAATAATAATTTTCAATTTATAAATGTTACAAAGGGGCATCAAACATGCCGACCATTTTCACACAGGTATGCAGCGAAGATATTCAAAAGTTTACTCGTGTGAGAATGCTCCAAACAAGTAACACTGTGCATTAGAATTTGTGTCTGGTTCGTAGTTTTATATGCAGTAAGTGACAAATGAAATATCGTTAAAGCGAACTGGTAACTCGCAAGTCAGTAAGAATGTAAGAAAGAATTTTATATTTCTGCATGAAAGAGTTAAGGTTATGGAGATATCCTGTCGCAAGAACAAGTTAAATTCCTGTTTTGGTAGGTTTTACAACAATTTTTATACAATGTACAGGACAAATGTAGAGAAACATCAAGGCAACTGGAACGCATAATTGTCGAAGATCTCCTATTTAAAGTCCATTCAGTGTTAACTTTATTTAATACGTAAACGTTTCAAAATATAAACTTCGATTCTAAGTAAAAGCATAACGAGTATGAAAGTTAAAATATGTCTCAAAATATATAGCCTTTAAAATTTTAAATCAGCTTTTATTAACCGGAATAGTACAATCCTGTTTTATAAGTTGAGGTATAGTATGGAATAAATCAACGTAATTCCTATTTTCATTTATTGGAAATAAATTTCACAACTTCCATCACATTTTATATTTTTAGTATTTTGTTTTAGAATCCAGTATGATAAAAACATGCAAATAATTGTACCGAGAAACAGTGAAAGCCTCTGATTAGTGGAGACAAGACACTCCTAAAAGCAACAAAAGAATATCGTTCAACGCCGAAGGCTGAATTCAGACAAACTTGTTGAGCACATCGACCGATATTTTCACTTTCTATAAATCGCAGACCGCAGTGATTTTAATTTGCATGCGACTCACCGGAAGCGACAGGCTATTCTGCTAGGCCCATAGTATTCAGTCTAGACACCGCAGACTGTGAAACTTACAAGATTTTCAGACTTCCCGATTTCGGGCTTAACTTTACAATAAACGATTATTAAAACGGGTCTAAACTGTATTTAATTGATACGAATGGCCTATCAAATTCGCTAAAATTCTGAAAGAGTTTAAACAATGATAAGAAAGAAATTAAAAGGCGAAATTCACTACTGTACAAACAAACACCAGCTCAAATTATTGAAGAATAATAAAACTTAAAAATATAATTAGGTATACTGTCTGTAATTTCATATCAGACAAATCAACTGCATCTCTAATAACAGTAATCTCTCATTATTAATAAGCAGGTCTGATACAGAGTGTAAAATATTTTCTAAAATAATTTAAGTGCACAGTACTACTTGTATATACATGTAGTATTACATTCAGTAATACTACATCTTGCCAACAGATTGTATTTGTGTTTCACATAATTCTCACTGTAAACAGCAATTATTTCCATAAACAGCAATAACCAGTCGATCTTTCGTTTATATATATACACGCTGCGTCTTGTTTGCGGTTCGGGTTACGTTATAAGTTGTTAATTATATGAGCTTTGAATTTCGAAGAGTTAACACTACAATTCGTAAGAACCCAAAAGACTATCATCTTCATACTCATCACAGAGAGAACCTAGAATCTCACCGGATGTTAAAAACGATCATTTATGTCAGTATTTACGTGGGCTAATATATGTACTGTAACTTTCATCGTGTTGGAATGGTATTTTCATCAGAATATAATTACACATTACGGCAATTAAGGCGTATTGTTCCTGTGACTTGCTTTTAGCGGTGTGTCACAACCAACTCGTCGAATTCCTGAAGATGGCGATTGAGACAGTCTCCGAGACATTGGAATTTTGCTTCAAAACATTGAGTCTTATTGCCTGAAATGGTATTATCGATTCTGTACCTTAGTTTTAATTAAGACTAAAGGTTTCTTATGTTTATCGTTCTCCTCTGTTCACTATCCTTTCCTACAATGATCATTTTTCCTTTATTTGTTCCCGACTTGTTCCGTTCAAACGCCATATTTTAAAACTACAATAGTATGTCGTCATATAACGAATAATATTGAAGCGCGGTGAAGTGCTGACTGCCTACCGATCATATTAATTAGACCTCTATTTGGAACAAATTTTCGAGATAGCTAATAACTTGTCAACTTCTCGCATTTAACTCTCATATTTATCGACTTATCGGAATATATTGCACATAAATGTCCATTCATCAACTGCAATTTCAGATTAAACAGATTGAAAATTAATTCTTAGATGTCAGGTCATATAGTTAATGGTGAACTTATAATAGTTTTAATAACTAATTTTCTATTTTATAATTTGCCTTATGCACTCATGACGATCTGAAACAAGGAAATAAGATGAAGTTCCAGGAATTTAAACGAGAAGCTGAGAATAGGGAAAACTGGAGAGCTCTTTTTGGGCAGAGCAATGGACCTGTCGTAAGACAGAACACTGAACAATAATAATAATAATAATAACTCATAAATATAAATGAAGTCGCCTGCACAATATCTGTAATAACAGCCCTGCAAATTAACTCCATAAAGCAGGGTCGTTGTTAAGTAGCTGACAAGCATTCAGGAATAGAACCCAAAGGTTCACATGAGCCCGCCATCTGTTCCTGTCCATAGTAACATAAATTTAGTCCACACCCTTTGTTTAACACACACTTTACAGTTATAATCCCATCTACGCCTAATTCTTCCAAGTGAACGTTTCCTTTCACTTTCACAACAAAATTTTTGTATGAATTTCTTGTCTCTTCCATGCGTGGTTTAAGTCCTGTACATTTCATATTCATTGATGTTATCATCATAATACTATTCAGTAAAGAGTAAGAATTATGAAATTTAAAATCTTCTCCAGCGTTTTGCCACTTCTTCTCTTGGGTTCAAAATTTCCTAAGGTCAGAGATCAAATTTCACGCCTTTACAAGAAGCAGGCAAATTTATATTTCTATTTATTTTAATAATAAATGCGGTTTTAAATAGCACTCTGGAAGACGAAAAGTTATGAACTGAATGGTAGTGAGTATCAGTGAAGCTAAACGGCCCATAAAAGTATACATAAAAACAAATTATATCACGAAGACAATAACTGATTAGAAAAAGCTTCTCCTATATTTAGCCAGGCTATGATAATTACTTCGTGTGTGTGTGTGTGTGATAAGATGCTTGGTCTATCTCAAAACTGTCTTCACTTGCAGTGCTACCAACTGCCTCAAAACTAATTACGAAAGAAAGAAACTCCTGTGAACATTTCAATCTGACCAGTGACCCCAACACAATTATAAACTAAGTGAACAACCATAGACATAATGACCGTTAGATTGGAGGTAGTAAGCTCCGATGGAATGTTGGTCAGACTAAACAGTGCAACATCTCACAAAGCAGCCATCTTCCTCTTAAATACATTTCACATCTTTGTAATTCTCTTATATCAATTTTAATACTTTCTTGTGTCTCAGTCTTGAACTAGTTATTTCTCAATCAGAGAAGCACGTGTGTCCCATCGCACCATGCTTCAAGGCTACCCAACTAAGGAGAAGCAACTTGAAGGACATTAAGTCGTCTGTCTTCTGGGATGTAGCACAGTGTAATCTCGTAGACACTAACCGAAGTTTCAGAGGAAATTTTTGCCTCTATCACCCTGATGATGCCAATATCTACCAGACTTCATACTCGCCGTGAAAACCTGAAATCTCACTTTGAATTAAATTCTTTGCAATTTCCATTATATTGTTGTGAGTCATGTAAATTGTCTAATTCATGAAATTAATCCGTCTTGAAGTAATTTTGAGCAGTGTAACCTCACTTATATACGCTCTGGGGCAAAAGCGCGAATTACCATATGTGGTTATTGTTAAAGAGATTCCCAAGTATCGATTAGCATGCCGCCAAGAACTTTAACCTCACCCTACACTAGTACGACATAAGAGAACAAGAATTTATGTAGTACAATCCAGTACCTTGTCCGTGAATTATATAATGTGTGTTGTCCCCTGCTCCTACAGATACAAATCGAAAAGTGCGGAGGGAGAAAGCCTGTATTGTTGCAAACTGGAAACACGTAGACTCCTCAGTAAAATACGCATTAAGAGGAAAGGAATTTAAGCAAATTTCATCCTGAGATATGCGTAACAGATGCTTAGAAACTTCGCGACTACTAGTGACTGACGTGATGTGTTACAAGAGAGCAGAAATTAAATAAATGGACAATGTAACAGATGTTTTCTGTGAGAGAACCACAGAATAACAGAGGAGGGGGAGGGGGGGGGTCAAAACTGCGACTGTCTTACACATAGTGAAGATCTAAATTCTGAGAAAACATTAGGTGTACTGGTGAGAATTCGAAAAGAATATAATATGATCGAATCATCATCAGCTCTGAGGATTATACACATGAATGTGTTCCGTCGCCATTATCATCTTCTTTCAAACATCAACAGCCATTCTTCTGCGCGGAAAATCACGCACATTACT